TCTTTTAAGTCAATGATGACTTTATGGTAATTGTGTGAAACGGCAGCAAGGTTGAAGAACGCCCATGGGTAACATGACTTTGTTGACAGCATGGAGGTCTTGAAGGAGCCCTATTTTCCCCATTTCTATTTAATTACAAAGATGGGTGTGTTCCAGGGAGAGGTGGAGGGGGTAATCTTGCCGGAGGTTAATAGCTCCTGCACTAGCTGGGTGGCTGAGGCAAGTTTCTCTTGGGTGAGAGGCCACTGGTGGACCCAGACAGGTCCTGATGAGATCCAAGAGATTTTTTTCTGCATGAAGGAGAGGGACTGGGTCCTGGGGTCCAGGGGGAGCAGTGGCCATCATGTAAAATGGTGTCCAAGACTGTGTCTGTTGTTTTTAATTTGGGCCTGGACAGCCTTTTATAAAGCTGCACCAATTGACAAGCCTATCACATGACTAGTGCCTGCTCCTTCGCAAAGGCGCACATATGTGGAAAGGGATTCCTTACAGTGATGTTTAAGAATATCTTGACAAGCGGGATTGGCATTTTTGAAGGCAAGTTGTTTAATAAAAGGATTATCTGGCTCAGGTGTACCAAAACGGCGTTCAATGGTCTCTGAGATACAGCTCATGAAAGAGCTATAGGGCTGGTCAGGATCTTGGATGATCTTTGTAAGGGATCCTGTGGTGATGCCCTGGGGGAGGGGTTTGCACCAGACTCCTAAACCTCCCTGTCTGATTTGCTCGAGGAGGCCTGTGGAGAAGGTGATTTGTGCCTCAAGGGTGTCATAACAGGGGTTGCCAAGGATCTCATCAGCTGTCCAAGTACAGGACTCAGCACCAGTAGAATTTTTTCCAGCCATATCTTTAGCCAGCTCGGTGAACTGATTTCCATAAGACAAAGTCGCCTCCATTTAGGATTGCTCTGGCTAGTTGATGTCATCTATTAGGAGTGAGCCATGCCTCTGTAATATTTTCAAGAAGGGCAAGAGTGAAAGTGGGACCGTAATTGGAGACTGCCGATTTAGGTTTTTCAAGAAATTTTAAGTCTAAAGGGGTATATCCAATAGGGGGTTATCAGGGAGTTGTGTTTCTCCTCCTGAGGGGGCAGGAGTGTCAGGGTTATCATCTCCCGAGTCCTACTCCCCGGAGGAGGCATCCGTTGACGGGTGAGGGATTTGATTACTGCTATGAAGTTAAAGCCGAAGCACTAAGAGTGATTTTGAGGGTTTTGCCTTTTGTTTTGTTTTATTAATGGGTTTGCAGGAATCCAAGGAGAGGGAAGTTAGGTTGGAAAGTTGAGCGTCTAGGTCTCTTAGTTTAGTAAGGAGTTTGATTTGTTGCTGTCTGCTTGAAATGAGAGCCTTCCAAGCTAGAAACTTTGGAAGCCTGCTCTCCAGTGATGGACTGCCTCCAAAAAATCTCTGTACCCTAAAACTTCCCTAACCTCCCTAATAACACTACCAACTAGGTACCAAATGTCTAATTACATGAGCCAATTGGAGACATTTCTCTTTCAAATGACTGTGTGGTGAGCAGAGGGAATTGCAATGTCTAGAGTCTGGTGCCAGTGCCCGATCCCTACTGATATTGGTCCCATTGTTTGGGAATCTAATGATCTGCTTCCAAGTTGTTGGTAACTAGGTCACCATTATCTGAACTACTTCCACCTGGCTACTTCTTAATTTCCATCAATTTATATAACTCTCACATTTCCAAAAAAGCTTCTCAAACACTGGAACGTCTCTTCAAGGTAAAATTACATAGGGTCTCTCCAATTCTGTCTCTTCCTACTGATCACACTATCAATACCACACACACACACCACAAAATTAAATATCTAGTGTTTACCTTCACTCTCTCCTTTATTGCTACTAGTGACAACCCATGTGCTAAGCACACTAACTGTTCAATAATACTTGTCAAAATTATCATTTCCCATAGAAATTATCAATTGGATGTCTGAATTATCCTTTCTTCATAACAATTTTGGTGAATAGTACTTATATGTTCATGTGTTTCATATTTCACATAATAAAATTAAAAACACAAAATCTAAGAGATTAATTAGAGTGTATTACAATGGATCTGTAGCCATATTTCAGATTTAAAACCATTATATGTGTGTGATATCTATCTAGATCATACATACATACATACATACATACATGATAGATAGACAGACCAATATATGATAAAGCAGGAAGATAGCTAGACAGACAATAGAGAGATAAACATGAGATTTTACACAAGTGGAAAGCCAACAAAGGTTTATTCCCACAGCTAGTAGAGTTGACCTGTTGTCAAGTGGAACTTCTTGAGTTTCATTTAAGGCAGAGAAGCAGATTTAAGCCTCTAGGACCTTAAGTGTTCATGAACTTTCCCAATATTAACGGCGAAATCATTTTTAGAGATTCATTAGAGTATATGAAATGTTAGACAGTGAGAAGAAAATCAGGTTTTATACACGAAAACCACAAGTAACCTCAATAGTTGAGGTTGCTCTTTCAACCTCAAACTTCTGGATATGTTTGTGAGGGGGTGTCTGACTCGGTTAATTGAGAGAGTAGTTCTAACCTAACTACGGATAGTGCTATTGTATCCAGTGGGTCCAAGGCAGAATAAAAAAGAGAAAAACGCCTGCATTTCCTCTCTCTGCTTCCTGACCCTGGATGCAATGTGAACAGCTGGCTAAAGATCCTGCTACAGTGACTTCCTCACTATGGTGAACTGTACCCTTGAACTTTCAGCCAAAATAATTCCTTTGATAATGCATTTCATAGCAGCACCGGGAAAGGTAATTAATATGCTAGTCACATATGATAGGACCTGACCAGGAAGACAATTCTGGCCATTTATGACATATTTTAAAAAGTAGGGTTTATTATGTCATAATTGTTTTCAATAGCATATTTGACTGTTGATATTAAATTTTAAAAAATGTGTCCTTGCAGTCTCGGATAAGCCTCATTCCTGAAGACCACTTGAATTAATTTACTGCCAACAACAACAATAAGTGCATTTAAGAGTCACAGGGCTGTGCAAGGAGCAGGTAGGTACACCAGACAGGTCTCCTGGAGGACTGCACCACCACGGCGCCTCTCCTGGGAATGCTAAGAGGACCTTGGAGGGCTTACCAGAACTCTATCTGGAATCTTGATTCCCAGCAAAGGAATGAACCGCAAGCGGAGGCGGAACGGGAAAACAGACGTTTGAATCCCGCGCCAGGCTGGCAAGGCAACCCACCTCAGACCTTTGCTTCTCTTCCCTGCTTGCCAGCTTTGGCCAGTCCAGAACTGCAACTCCCACCATGCAACGCGGCGAGGCGGGGGCTACCGGGACTGTTTTAAAGCCAGTGGGCTCGCCGCCGCAGCGTTTCGGGTTTGATGAAATGACAAACTCTGACCTTTCCCGGAGGCGGCTCCCTCAGCGAAGCCTGGTTTGCTGGGCCTTCGTAAGTGGGGAGGCCGACTGTTTCCTCACGGGCCTGAGAGGCCTCCCACCCCGCGGCCTCATGGTAAATGAAGTCCCTGATGCGGAGAGAGACGCAGTTCCTG